AGATGTTGGTCACCGGACCAATGGTAACGGTATCCCTAGAGACTTTTTTGGCGCCAGGAAAATGCCGATCAAAGTTTGACGCTTGTTCCAAAAGTTTAAACACAGTAATGATTGGGTGTTGAACAGTATCAAACCCAATGATTACCGCGCCCTTCCTAAGGCGTCAGCATACAATTATCGAATCTTCACTCCTTAAGGCTGTCCATTCATGATTTAATGCATCGGGGCACGTCACGGTTACTAGTCTAACGCACGTCCGGATTACTCAAAAAGTGAGGGTGTAATCCCCGTCGCTCAAGAACACACCATCATGTATATCACTCGCTTGATAATCACGGTCGCCGCAGGCTGCTCTGCATTTTTGCGCTAGATGTTGGTCGACCGTGCCCCCGCCCAGCCCCCTTCTAAGGCCCTTATCGAATCTATCAAAGTGTCATCAGCCTCTGTCACGACCAAAAAGTGTTCCCGTCCTGCCATGTATATCACTTCTTGAAATCACGGTCCTGCAGCTGCTGCAACTTGCGCTACGATTTCGGTCACCCTCCCCTTCTAAGGCCCCTTATCGAATCTTATCAAGTGTCATCACCTCCTGTCACCCATCAAAAGTGTTCCCGTCCTGCCATGTATATCACTCCTTGAAATCACGGTCCCGCAGCTGCTGCATTTTGCGCTAGATGTTGGTCACCCCCCCCCCCTTCTAAGGCCCCTTATCGAATCTTATCAAGTGTCATCACCTCCTGTCACGCTACGACATAAAAGTGTCGCGCGTCCTGGCCATTTGTATATCACTCCTTGAAATCACGGTCCCGCAGCTGCTGCATTTTGCGCTAGATGTTGGTCACCCCCCCCCCCTTCTAAGGCCCCTTATCGAATCTTATCAAGTGTCATCACCTCCTGTCACCCATCAAAAGTGTTCCCGTCCTGCCATGTATATCACTCCTTGAAATCACGGTCCCGCAGCTGCTGCATTTTGCGCTAGATGTTGGTCACCCCCCCCCCCCCCCTTCTAAGGCCCCTTATCGAATCTTATCAAGTGTCATCACCTCCTGTCACGCACCAAAAGTGTTCCCGTCCTGCCATGTATATCACTCCTTGAAATCACGGTCCCGCAGCTGCTGCATTTTGCGCTAGATGTTGGTCACCCCCCCCTTCTAAGGCCCCTTATCGAATCTTATCAAGTGTTATCACCTCCTGTCACCCATCAAAAGTGTTCCCGTCCTGCCATGTATATCACTCCTTGAAATCACGGTCCCGCAGCTGCTGCATTTTGCGCTAGATGTTGGTCACCTCCCCCCCCCCCCCTCCCCTTCTAAGGCCCCTTATCGAATCTTATCAAGTGTCATCACCTCCTGTCACCCATCAAAAGTGTTCCCGTCCTGCCATGTATATCACTCCTTGAAATCACGGTCCCGCAGCTGCTGCATTTTGCGCTAGATGTTGGTCACCCCCCCTTCTAAGGCCCCTTATCGAATCTTATCAAGTGTTATCACCTCCTGTCACGCACCAAAAGTGTTCCCGTCCTGCCATGTATATCACTCCTTGAAATCACGGTCCCGCAGCTGCTGCATTTGCGCTAGATGTTGGTCACCCCCCCCCTTCTAAGGCCCCTTATCGAATCTTATCAAGTGTTATCACCTCCTGTCACCCACCAAGTGTTCCCGTCCTGCCATGTATATCACTCCTTGAAATCACGGTCCCGCAGCTGCTGCATTTGCGCTAGATGTTGGTCACCCCCCTTCTAAGGCCCCTTATCGAATCTTATCAAGTGTTATCACCTCCTGTCACGCACCAAAAGTGTTCCCGTCCTGCCATGTATATCACTCCTTGAAATCACGGTCCCGCAGCTGCTGCAACTTGCGCTAGATGTTGGTCACCCCCCCCTTCTAAGGCCCCTTATCGAATCTTATCAAGTGTCATCACCTCCTGTCACCCATCAAAAGTGTTCCCGTCCTGCCATGTATATCACTCTTGAAATCATGGTCTGCAGCTTGCTGGCAACTCGCGCTACACTTTCGGTCACCCTCCCCTTCTAAGGCCCCCTTATCGTATCTTATCAAGTGTTATCACCTCCTGACACCCACCAAAAGTGTTCCCGTCCTGCCATGTATATCACTTCTTGGAACTGTCATCCTATCTTTTCTGTGACGCTCGCTATGAATTTCGTGACACACACACACACACACACACACACACACACACGAGACACACACACAAGACACACATAGCGATTAATATCGTAGCGATGCATCCAAGAGGTCACTGGGGTAGGAATAGTACGAAAAAAATGCCGAGCGCGCTCGCAGTAGCGTGTTGCTTAAAGGGGCTCTAATACGCAGCAACGCGTGTTTAAGCGCGGAAACGCATGTTCAAGTGCAGCAGCTCGTGTCCAAGTGCGTTGAGTCTGAAAGTTGCCTGCCTTATTCTGCATCAAAGGCGAGTCCATCATACATCATTTTTCGAGATCGCCACTGGCGTACGACAGAGATTCATTTTGTTTACAACTCTCTTCAATATAAGCCTCGACTTCATTATATGAGAAGAGTGATGGAACATGCAGAAACAGGCATTGAATCGCCTGTTCAAGGCCGTCTCACATTTCTGGATGTCGCGGACGGCATAGTTGACTGCCAAAGAAAGAGACTTCAGCAGGGCACCAGGGCATCAGAGAGACGCAAACATGAATACAAACATGAATAAGTGCTGAGAAGTCGAAAAGCATGGGTCTCAACCTTTAGCAGACAAGGTGGCTGCAAACATTGGTATTAAGTCGCTGAGAGGGTCGACAAGTTCACTTGTCTCCGCAGTATGGTCACTCACGACGGTGATGCTGAAACGGACGTCCGTTCCGCATTGCAAAAGCATCTGCCGTGTTTGCTGATGTGGACAGCCTTTGTAGGCGCTGCATAGGCTTGAACTGGCTGGCCACATTTTGCGCATCCTGCGAAATCGAGTTCCACGGGTGGCATGATTTGGATCTCTTCAGGAGCCAAGCGAGCACAAAACCGTCCCAGAAACACGCGGAGACGTACGTGCGAGAACAATTCGAGAACCGTGAACAGCCATAGGGACCAGGCCGAAGAAATTGCGACCAACAAAAGTGGAAGGAATTTTTCGCTTGATGTGCCTAGCAGGAAGTCGCTTTCTTCTTATTTAATGCGCTTTATTTCGTCATATCATGTTTTGCACCTCCTGGTCCAACAATATTTGCTATCCCTATACATTTCTTCTATTATTGCTGTGTAATTGTGAATCGGAGAAAGGATCAGGAGTCAGCGAGAAATCAAATAATTTGGCCGACCCTCAGGGTGAGAGAGTAGTGAGCGAGAAACATTTACAAACACCAAACTCCCCTTCAAGATAATAGAAGTCGCTCAAAATAGATGATACTGAACTGCGCTAGTCTTCCGACAAGAAACTGTTGCCTCCTCGCTGACACACGCGAAGGCTTCCTATCTCTACAATAAATGGTTCACTACGTCTATTGTTTGTTGTGTGCTGGTTGGATGATGGTGGTTCCTGTGTCCGGAAAGTCAGTTCTACCTGAAGGCAAATTGGAGACCGGGCGCAAGTCGCTTTATTGCGGCATGGGTCAAGATGCACAGAGCATCCATTACGTGATCAGCCCTGCGCTTTGTTAAAAACGGTCGCGGCCGACAAAAACTCACAGGGGTAGTTAGTTCGTTAGAGTCACTTATATCGCTCACGGAAGCAATCAGTATAGAAAGTATGAACGAACGATACAGTTCAATAAACAGGCTCTCAGCAATCGACTGGTTTTAGTTGAATGATAATTGTTCACGGAGCTGCAAAAAGGCAGGCAGTGTCAGATACTATAACTGTCTCGAAATAACAGGATAAGCAGTTTCATTTGCAGCGTCCGCAACTGCATGAGGGGTGCGAGCCAAAGTAAGACGCACCGGGAATCGCGGATATCATGAAGCAGCAGTACGCTTGAAACCGTGAAGCACTTTGGTGAGCGTTAATGCATGTTTTTTTTCTATAAAGCTGCTTCTGCAGCCAACCCAGAAGGAACGGACGAAAAGG